CATGATACAGTAATTGCTTATTTACTTGTTTGCCTCCCTCCCTCAGATCCCTGACAGTGTCTTCTTTCTATCCCTGGCACCTACCACAGTGCCTGGCACATGGCAGGAATTCCCCAAAAGTCTGTTGAATAAACTAATAAACAAAGGAAGGCATGAATTCACGTAAGAGTGGAGATTCATGTGTCAAGGTACAAACATAGAGCAAGATGTGGGATTAGCTTTGTTGGGGATGGAGAGGGGTCATGGGAGGATCTAAGGCTTCAGAGTACAGACAATGCCTCAGTCAAGTATTGAAGGGTGAATGTGTATTTGCTCCATAGAAAAGGGGAGAGAGATGGGGGACAGCAATCCAGGCAGTGACAACATAATTTAAAGCATCCCCTAGGTGGCTCCAGGGCTAGTTTTACCCTCGCTCCCTTTAATTAAAATAATAATAATAATAATAATAATAATAATACTTTCTATATCTTTGTTTCTGAACAAATGAATGATATTTAATAAAAATCCCAGTCATCAAAAGTAAGTTAAAAAAAAAAAAAAAGGTCCCATAAATGTAACACTTTTCAGAGAGATGGAGGGTGTGATCGGGCAGTGGACTGAACCAGGAATAGGAAGGCCAGGGAGATCAGAGCAAGCTGGCTCTGTCTTATTGACCCATTCACAGATGAGGACGCTGAGGCTCAGAGGCAATGCTTCCTCAGAAGAAAGCGATGGAACTTACCCTGTGCCCCTCCATAGGCTAGAGACACGCGATCCTTTGATCATTGCACAAATCCTTGTTGCATCCTTACTTTGTACCAGAGGTGACTGAGAGCCCCAGGAGGCAGCCTCTGGTGAGAGCTGCAACGGGGAGGGTGGGGACAGAGCCCAGCCCAGGCTGCTGAGGGGCCATGCAGTACCTTGCTGGGAACCATCTGATGGAAGGGGCCAAGTTGAGCATTGTGTCTAGAACAGACCGAACAAAGAAAGGCCTGAGCATATGCCTGGTCATGCTGACTCCCCACACTTATTCTTTTCTGGCCCACCTTTGGTGGCGGCATCTAGCCATGCTTTCTTCGTGCAGCCCTGAAAGACCCTCTAAACCCTACCCAGAGACGACAGGAAATAGAAAGAACGGGGAGACAGAAGTTTTTTTGTTTGGTTTTGTTACAGCTTTACTGAGATACAATTCACATGCCATAACATTCACCCTTTTGAATCATACAATTCAATGGTTTTTAGCATCTCACAGATGCCCGGGATCAATACTAATTTCAGAACATTTTCATGCCCCCCCCCAAAGGAAATCCCTTATCCTTTAACAGCCACACACACCCCCATTCCCCCTACCTGCCCCTGTGCCCCTGGCAACCACTAACCCTACTTTCTGTTTCTATGGATTTGCCTGTTCTGAACAAAAATGTTCATACGCATTGAAGCGTACATTATGCGTTCTTTTGTATCTGGCTTTTTTCACTTAGCATGTTTTCAAGGTTCTTCCATGCTGTAGCATGAGATAAGTTTGACAATTGATAGATTGATCAGTGATGGTTAAATTCCTTCATTCCATAGATAGTTACTGAGCGCCTACTGTGTGCCAGCACTGGGGACTCAGCCAGGGAGGAAACCGACATGAAATAAACCCTGCCCTGGAGGGTTTCTAGTGGGAGGAAAGAGACAATAAGTCCATGAATAAGAAAATGATTTAGAATATTCGAAGACGGTAGAAGCTAAATGAAGCGGAAAGCTGGAAGCAGGGTGAAGAGAGGGAGGATGTGGCTTTAAGTAGAGGGGTCAGCGAGGTCCTCACCCGAGGGTGAAGGCAGGGGACTTTCCAGCCGAGATGAAAAGGAGGTGAGGGAGCCAAGATGCCATCGCGATGCTCCCAACAGCGCTCACACCCGGGCACCTATCAGTTCCGCAGGGCCGGGACCTTGCCTGTCCCGTCCACGCCGCGTCCCCGCGACCAGCACGGCAGGTGACACTGCATGGGCATTTCCCGCGGCCTGACTGTGGCGGTGGGAGGCCCGGGGGCCGGGGGAGGCGTCGGCCCCGCAGCCCAGCGCGCGCCGCCCGCC